GGACCTCTGCCATATAACAGGTAACCAAGAACCAAACAGGATGGACACACACACACACAAGATTACAGAATTACAAGTTACTCTGTGTTTATTTCCTTTTTCGTTATCCATCAGCCATCACTGACAATCTTGTGGTTAAACTGTTAACGGATCATTTTTTAAAGCAAAATCATGAGTCATGCAGATACCAAGTGAACACAAATCAAAGAATTTACTTACCTCATTAATTAAATGAAAGAACCAGACAGATGTTATAACCGGTTTGAAGGAAAAGCCAAAGAAGCACAAATTCATATGAAATAAAGCAATTTTGAAATGAATGAACAAATGGACACGAACCTGGTTTTTCCATAGAAGGAGAGGTTGTCCCTCCACTGGGCAAAATTCATTATTGTTTTGCACTGCTATCAGCTATCTACATTTTACGGAGTTATAAAATTACTCCCATGGAATCAGAATCCAATAATCTGGTAAAGTGTGATCTGGAAAATGTAGTTTTCCACTAAAGCACAAACTTTTCCCTACAAAAGCAGGTTTTGGGGTCAGACATTTTGTGATCAAATGCCACTCAGTAGCTGTATGGTTTTGGACCTGTCTTACCTCAATCTCCTTATCTATGAAATGGGAATGATAATCAACTTCGTAAAATTATTAAAAGAATTAAATGAGATAATCCATGTGAAGCTAGTGGCAGCATGCCTAATACATAATAAGCAGTCAATAAACATTAGCTGCCTTTTTATACATACGCATGTATATGCATATATAATGTCGATGACATTTTATTTTTATATGCATTCTTATATATACATGTTATTATTGTTGAAAACATTACAGGGGAGCATGGCCCCTTGAATCTATCACGGTGGTAGAGAGACATTCCACTCTGGCTGGTTCCAATGCAGGTCTAGCTGTAAAACAGCTCCAGGCCTCTAGAAAAGAGCCCCAAAGGACTGATGTTGCCAGGAAGGCAGTTTGGTCCCTGGAGGAGGGCATTTCCCTCTGTTGGCATACTGCTCCCACAAGCTCTGCTTTCTTTCCCCAGTCTGGAGATTTTTGTAGTTTTCATAGTGAGAAATGCAGAACTTTTTCTTGGCTTAGTAATAATAGTTACTGGGTGTTATAATAAATAGTCCTAAAAATATATGGGTCAAAAACAGTAAGAGTTCTCCTCACTCCTGTGACAGCCCAAGATATGAGTGACTGGTCAGCAGGCAGCTTTCCAGCATTTAGGGATCCAGAAGCCGGGCTCTGTCCATCTTATGGCTCCACTAGTCCCATCCTAATATTCACAGGCTCCTGGCAAGAATACAAATGGAGACCCTACTGGGGTTGTCAGATTTAGCAAATAAAAATACAGGATGACTAATAAAATTTTAACTTTAGATAAACAATGAATACTTTACTAGTATAAATATGTCCTGTGCAATATTTGAGATACACACTTATACCAAGAAAACATTCGTTGTTTATCTGGAATTCAAATTCAGTCAGACATCCTATATTTTATCTGGCAACCCTGCACACACCAACTATTTAAAAATTAAACAGCTTTTGGAAACAAACTGTTAAAGAAAATATATTCTGTCATCCTTCCTTGACAAATGTACTTTCATAATGGCCTGGAAGGCCAGGTTCCCATTTAGAATTCTCAGACTCCTCAAATTTTCATATCACCCTCCTGCCTGCTCTCTTCCCTTTATCTCCAGCTGTCTGTTGCTTCAAGGACCCTCATTGGCACGAGTGAGGATGCCCCAGTTCAGGCACCATCCACATCCCCTGCAAACGGCCACCTTTGTCCATCCCTTGGGCCTAGGAGTGCACACTCCAGTGCATGGTCCCCCCATAGGGAATACAGCCTGGGGAAGAGGTCCATACAGATCATGAAGGGGAAACTTCAGTCACCTGGAGAGTGATCTAGGAGTGGGAGTGTGGGTTCTCGGTGGGCACATCCCTTTGGCCCTGTGGACTCCCCTACAACCAAGTCTAATGTATTGGATTTCACTCTTCTCTAGGGCCTTGTTGTCTTCTTCACCCCATCAGCATAAGGAGAGAGAATATAGAGGGGACGTTCCCATTTGTTAAAAACTTTAACCCAGAAATGGTACACGTCTTGTCTGCTAACATTCCATTGGCTGAAAGTTAGACAGGGTGTACAGAATTATAAGGAATCATTACTACCTACTAGATTGATTCTAGGATGGCAATAGGCATGGCAACGTGCTGTACTCTAAATCTTAAGGAAAAACTAATATTTTTATTGTCATTATACTCAATACTTAACCAAAACAGAAAACAAGAATCCTCAAAATGACACCCCACACCCCCTTTCAGGGAAAAGATTTACAAGGCAGACTGTTTACCCTTGTGTCCCTGACAACACATTAGCACAGTGCCAAGCATAAAGTCAGCATTCCATGAATATTGAGGAGTGCATGATTATTTATTATCGGACTGAAGTAAAGATTTAATGCACGTCGTGCTAGCATAATGGAATGAACTAGAGGAAGCAAAAGAGATGCTGTAATAGAAAGATGCTGACCAAAGGGTACTTCACTAAAAAGAACCCTTCCCGGGAGATGCCAAAAGCATAAAACCCCAATGCATTCACTCTTGGAGGATGGCTACCCTCAGAAGACACAGAGAAACCAAGAGGCCCCACATTGTGTGTATACTTTTTCATTAAGCGTTGTACTTTAACATTTATTCAATTACCCATTTTTCTTTACTCTGAGAAAAGTGCTGTTTAGAAAATATATCTGAAGCATAAAGATACGATGTGGGCATATCTAGGACCGTGAGCCCTAAACATGAGAGTATGAGCTGAAATGAAGACTGAAGAGGTCAGGGCAGAAGGGGGTGGGGGCGGCCAGCATGCAGGGAGCATCACTTCCACCTGCTGA